TCTGTTTTTACCAATTTTATCTGAACAGACAATACACAAACAGAAGTTTCACAAATAAATTATGTTTAAATTCTTAGAAGTTAGATGTCTCAATTTAATATTTTTAATCTTCTACTTGGCATGGGTATAGAGAAATAATTCTCTAATATGAGAAAACAGCAGTGTGAGTAAAACAATACAGGGCATCTCGTGCTCAGACTGAGATGAGGCAGAATGGTCAGGAAAGCCATAGGAGTGGTGGGACCACTGCCCGACAGACACTGGAGGGCTTCTCTAAATGGGACCGCAGCCTTCCAACTCCTCCCTGGTGTGGCGGGCTATGCTCTCAGACCACCTGTGTCTACCACCCAGTTCTACCACTTAGCTGCCTGACAAGTTTACTCAACCTTCCTGTGCTTCAGTTTTCTCTTCTTTAAAGTATGAATAATAAAAATAAAGTTGTGTTTAGAAAGATTAAATTGGTGAAATGCTTGGAACACTGCCTGGTAAGTAGTGTTAGCTAATACCTAATTATAGCAATGTGGGGCCAAATTACCACCGATGCCAGAAACCTGGGAACCATCCCCTGTTCTGCCCCTCCTAAGCTTCTCCTCCAAGCTCACCTCCAGTGGTTGTGCAGGCAAGGGCTGCCTAAGGGGGCCTGGCAAACAGAGGGGCCCAAAATCCAGCCTCCCGCCACTTGCCAAGCCCCAGAGCAGGGCTCCGTCTGCCTGGAGGAAGGGGCAGCTTTCTAAGGTGCCATTTGACTTAGCCGGGGCCAGTTCTCTTCCCTTTCCTCCCCAGTCTCCTCCCAGTTTTTCACCAAGTCTCTAGGTATTTTCTCCATAGTTCTTTCATCTATCCTCTTCCCTCCATCCCACTGCCCACTGTAAGCCGTGCTCATTTTTCCCCTGGATGACTCAGATTGCTTTCTAGCTGCCTCACTGCTTTGTTTTTCATATTACCTCAAGTCATTCCCCACCCACTTGCTGGGACAAGTAATCTTTTTTCTTTTGGTATATTTTTAAAAATTTGTTTTTAATTGCACATATTTGTGGGGTACAGTGTGTTGCCTCAATACATGCATATATTGTACAATGATTTACTTAGGGTAGATAGCATGTCCATCACCTAAACATCTATCTTTTCTCTGAGTATTCCATTATGTATATATACCACGTTTACTTTATCCATTTGTCCGTTGATGGACATTTAGGTTGATTCCATCTCTTGGCTATTGTGAATAGTGCTACCACGAAGATGGGAGTGCAGATGTCTCTTTGATGCAAGTGATCTTTCTAAAAGAAGTGCAAATCAAAATACACCGTGAGAAAGGAAAATGGCTTAGAGCAATCTAAGGAAAGTAAGGTTACTAAACTTATCAGGCCCAGAGAGAGAGGAGAATGGGACTTCAGTCACACCCCCTGTATTAGTTCATTTCTGCTGCCCTAACAGAATACTTGAAACTGGATAAGTTATAAAGAAAGGAAATGTATTTCTTACAGTTTTGGAGGCTGGAAAGTCCTAGGTCCAGGGAACATACCTGGTAAGGGGCTTCTTCTGAGTGGTGACTCTTCACAGCAACTCAGAGTCCCAGGTGACCAGGGTATTGCGAGGTGAAAACAGGTTAAGCAAGAGAGAACTTTCTCACCCGCTCTCCTTATAAAATCCATTACTCCATGAATGGATCAATCCATTCACAAGGGCACAGTCCTCACAAACTAATCACCTCTTAAAGGACCCACCTTTCAATTACCATCGTAGGTCTCCCACCCTCTTAACACTGTTACAATGGAGATCAAGTTTCCAATACGTGAACTTTGGGGGATACATTTGACCTATAGCATCTCCCTCACCTACATCTGGGATAATTGCTTAATGACATGTTTTTGGTAGCTGCTGCTACCATTGGGTATGGATTACCCAAATATTATCATAAGTTGTACAATGTGACCATCATTCTTTCTTTGTTGCAAAGCCCCTGGAATTTATGACACAAAGAGCAATGTATAGCCAATTAATAGTTCATGTTATTTTAGTGAACCAATGTAAATTCTTGGCAAACAACTTTGGAACTGCCCATCGACTTCTCTTTTTCTTCCTTTATATGTCAGTTCATAACTGCTACTGAAGGGAGCACAAACTCAGGCAACCTGAATTTGTGCTTCCTGGGCTGCAGTCCTTCGCTTTGGCTCAAATAAACTCTTTATATTTTTGCCTCAGTCTCCTCTTTTAGGTCAACAATCGAATACATTGCTCCCCTGCTTAAAACCCTTTGATGATTTCCTATTGTTCTTACAGTAAAGATCAAAATCTCACCACCACCTCCCTACATGATCTTTCTCCTACCTAATTCTCAGCCCCATCCCCAGCCACTCTGCTCTTGCTTAAGGAGCCATGGGCTTTCTTCTCACCTTACCTTGGGCTTTATCCTCCCCAACAGCCCCTACTTCTTTCAGGTTTCACTTAATGCTTTTCAGGGAGACCTCTTCTACCTCCACATTAAATTTGGTCCCCCATGTTGTGTTTTCTTAGTATCCTGCCCATTTCCTTCACAGAACTTATCTCTGTTATTGAAACTACACACTGCATCTATTTGTGTAAAAATTGTGGCTATGTTATCTCTTTAAATGATGGAAACGTTCTCATGAGCTCTCATTCCTACTGGGGAGTGGGCTAAACTTCAATTTGCCAGTGAAAGTTATCTGAGTGTCTTCTGGTCTAAAAATTTCATTTTGGGTAAACATTTGGGTAAAGAATTCACAGTTACAGTCTTATCAGAACTTTCCCCTCCTTCTCGACTTCCCAAGATGGCCTATAGGATCAAGGGGATGACTCAAGGAAGTGATGGGAGGGGTCTCTGATCTGTGTGCAGAGTTGTGAGCTGTAGCCTTGGTCCTCACTGGCCTCTGTTGCCATATCGCTGGTCACTGCTGGTCACCACCACCCTGCTGGCATCAGTTGTTGGGATGGTTGGTTGGCAGGCTCATGACCTGTTGCTTTAGTGCCTTCAGAGTCTGTTGTCTCATTGTTTACCACCACTCCTCCATCCCTGCTCCTCTCTTTAGCTGACTTAGGAGTGCTTCAGGTCTGCACATCTTTGGGGTCTTAGCTACATGTTCCAGCTATTCCCTGCCTACCAGTCCACCACAAAGCCTCTGCTTAGGATCACCTGGCCTTGGCACAGTGCCCCTTGGCCTCCTCAGGTCTCTCAACCATGCTACTTTCTGCATGTCCTGCAGGAGCATCAGAAAAGTATGGATTTCTGGCACACCATTTGCAAGCTGTGTAGACCCACCAGCATTATCTCAGACTCTTCTCCCTCCCAATGCCACTGTCAGCTCCTGAGCCCTGCTCAGTGTGAGATATTTCCCAAAATTGGACAGCCTTCAACTTAGACCAAGGGAAGTGGGCTTCTAGTTTCCTCAGCACTTAGGTGTATATTTCTATGCCTCTGCCTCAGAATTAGACCCCATGGGCGGAGGAACAGCAACACATTCATCCTGACCTCTTACCTTACCTCTTTCTCCATGAAATTTACTTTTATCTCCCCAATTCCTGTTTTCTCTTTGAGTCTTATCATAAGGCTCAAGGGAACCTTTCTTGACATTTCATATTAGTTTATTTCCCTGTCAAATAATAATTAGACTCTAAATTTCACAAGGGTAGGAACTCTATTCATTTATATATCCTTAGTGCCTAACATAGTGCTTGGAACACAGTGCCAGAACACAGAACAGAAATGCAATAAAATTTTGTTGAATAAATATTGTTAATCTGCTTTTACAGAGGTTGACACAAGATGGCACACACAAAACTCACAGTTACTATTGTTTTTCCTATGGACGCTCATAAATGCAGGTAGAATGAATATTCTGTCAAGCTCGGGCCCCGCCCCGCCCCGCCCCCGGCTCCCGGGCTGACTGAGGGCTCTCCGCCCCCCGCGCGGCGTGTCCCTTCCCCTCGGCCGCGAGGTCGGGG